GTTCATGGAAAAATAAAATTATAAGATAATACAAATCCTTCCATTACACTTGTATATGGTTGTATATCTACATACCTTCATTTATCTATATAAATATGTATATTCCTACATGTACATACACCCATAAATTATATGTATATAAATATATACATTTAAATATAAAATGTTGGTCACAGCCAATGGCTTCCTCAAGCAAGATTTTAAGAGATCAAATTCAAACATCAATTTTTTTTTCTACTTTCTTAAGAATTGTCACAACTGGGATTTGCCCTTAGATTTCATACTCAAAAGACTTTCATCCCCACGCACCATTATTTCTATTATCATGACAGTATTTACCCTTCTTCATGACCACATATGCTCTGCCCATTTCCCAACAATGACTGCTACATCTGCAAGGAATCTGCCCCTCCCTTGCTCAGTCCCCTTGATTCCTCAGGACAGGCTTGTACAGCATAGCTGGCCTAGCTTAGTGATGCACTGTGCACCAGTTCTGTTCTCACCATAAAATTAATGCATGTGTGTTATGTTCAATTGTGTCTCCCAAAACTCACATGTACAAGTTCTAACCTCCAGTACCTCAGAAAGTGACCTTATTTGGAAATAGCACATTGCAGATATAATTAGTTAAGGTAAGGTCATACTGAAGTAGGGTGGTTGCCTAATCCAATATGACTGATATCCTTATAAAAGGGGGGAATTTGGACACAGAGACAGACATGCACGTGGCCAGTTAGTTCAGCTGGTTAGAGCGTGGTGTTATACCACTAAGGTTGAGGGTTTGGATCCCCATACCAGCCAGCTACCAAAAGAAAAAAGAGAGACATGCACACAGGGAGAATGCCTGTGAACATGAAGGCAGAGATTGGTTGGGGTGGTANAGAGACATGCACACAGGGAGAATGCCTGTGAACATGAAGGCAGAGATTGGTTGGGGTGGTATATGGTGTACGACTATCTAGAAGCCAAGGAATGTTAAAGATTGCCAGCAAAACACCAGAAGCTGAGAAACATAAAACATTCTCCCTCACAGCCCTCAGAAGGAACCAACCCTGCTGATCAAGTCTAACCTTGATCTTAGACTTCTAGCCTCCAGAACTGAGAAAATTTGTTATTTAATCCACACAGTTTGCAGTACGTACTTTGTTAACAGCAATCACCCAGCAAACTACTACAGTAAGCAATCTATATATCTTTGGAAATGATTAAAGTTTAGAACTCTAACTGTGATGTTTTCAAAAATTTGGTAATCTATTTGAGTCACAAAATAAGCATGATCTGCTTGAGAGAAAGTCCAGAAGTGGATCTGGGTTATCATTATTTCACTCTGAAGTGTTTCCAAGAAAATTCGATTACCACAGCTAGAGTAAGGCCTTGCTGCAACATCGACTCACATAAAACAGAAGTCTGTGATGTGACTCTCTACACAGCAGAGGCTGGGAGCATTAGAATCTGAGTCCAAATCTCTAATTTCAATTATGTGAATTAGATAAATCACTAACACCTCCCAACACAGTTTCCTTATCTTTAACATAGCAAGAAAAATAGTGTCTACCTCACAGGGCTATTTCAAGGATTAAATGAGCTTCATGTAATCAATCAACAAATGTAGCAGGCTACATTTTGACATCCCTCATATGTGAAACACTATACTCTAAAGCCCAGCATATGTTGAAGCACTTACTTTCTAGTGAGGTTAAATATTTACTATCATGATCCCTTTAGAAATCTATAAATATAGAAATACTAATATTGCATAACTTGTTATGTTAATGTAGTCTGCAGAATCAGGAAAGTGATTCATAAAATGGATTTCCAGATGTCACCAAAAGACTTACCATTACATTATTTGTTCCTGGCAAAGCAGATTTTGGGCTTTTTAATTTAGGCTGCAAGAGAATTTCGGCTCTGATTTTTACAGCACATTCACCTATTATGAACACTGATGTCACTGTCATAACATTACAACTCTAGCTTATTAGTATTAAAGTATGAGCTT